GAGGGTCTGCTGGCTGGGTGCTGGCAGGCTTGCACCTGGCACAGGCACCGTAGCCAGCCCGTGCCCCTTTAAGGGGTCCGGGGCCGGGAGGAGGGCAGAAGAGTTTCCCTGGTGTTGGCCAGAGTGGCCACCAGGGAAACCTGGGGAGGGCTAGCCTCCCACTAGTTCGAATTAAGGGGCTACACACCCCTTAATTCGAACTAGCTAGTTCGAACTAGGCTTAATCCTCATAAAATGAGGTTTTCCTAGTTCGAACTATGCGCTCCGTTAGTTCGAATTAAATTCGAACTAGTGGAGCGCTAGCGTAGCGCCTATGAGAGTTAGTTCGAACTAACATCTGTTAGTTCGAACTAACTTTGTAGTGTAGACATACCCGGAGCTATTGTGTGCTCAACAGGCTTTCAGAGGCAGCGTAAAACTTAGGCCCCTAACTCCTCTGGTGTTGTAGTGAATTACAGCAGATTTCCTCGGAAGCAACTATGTTCCCATCCAAAAGACAAACCTTAAACACAGGTGCAACCTCTGAGCTGCCTGTTCCCCGCGTTTACTCAGTGGATCTCAAATGTCTTTACAAATATTCAGTTAAATTAGTTTTCCTTCACTTTCTCTCATGAGACCTGTCTGGTTACTGGCACACAATAGCGATGAGGATTCAACCCCAAAGGCAACCACATGCCAGGGATGAGGGACCTCTCCTTATTCATACACCACCTCGGCAGAGTGTGGACCGATGCTTGTGACCTCTGGTGCTATAGAGATGTCAGGAGTCCTTGCCGCCATTAGTGAGAACAGTAACAAATAAGCAATGCTCGTTTGGAAGTGGAGAAGAGAGTGCTAATGAAAAACGCAGTCACCGTTAGCCAGTGGAGAATGGCGGGTTCTGGTCTTTAGAAATGGAAGCTTGATCATCCAAGTGATCAGTTCATATCCCGTCCAAGCTGGTAATGACCAAAGAGCCGATAGCCCGTTGGTAACTTGTGTAAAATGGGCTGGTGAGTTTGTCTCCTGGGGAAATTGTCCATGTCACCTACTGCACTGTAATTGCCTCGTCAGGAGTGATCGGAGGCCCAGGGTCTCCTTGGCTACGTCTAGACTGGCATGATTTTCCACAAATGCTTTTAACGGAAAAGGTTTTCATTAAAAGCATTTGTGGAAAAGAGCGTCTAGATTGGCACGGACGCTTTTCCGCAAAAAAGCCCCGATCGTGAAAATGGCCATTGGGGCTTTTTTTGCGCAAAACAAATCTGAGCTGTCTACACTGGCCCTTTTGCGCAAAAGGACTTTTGCCCGAACGGGAGCAGCATAGTATTTCCACAAGATGCACTGATTTCGGACAGTAGGAAGTCAGTGTGTTCTTGCAGAAATTCATGGGGCCAGTGTAGACAGCTGGCAAGTTTTTCCACAAAAACAGCTGCTTTTGCGGAAAAACTTGCCAGTCTAGACACAGCCCCTGTGCCCCTCCAACTCAGGACTGGGGAGTAAGCTGTGTTGGCGAGAGGCAGCTTGAAGGAAGCTTGCACCCCTGCTGTCTGTGCTCTTTAGCTAGCTTGCAACTTCAGTCTCCCGAGCTGTCAGTTTCTGCTTGGTGAGTTTAAAACTGGGCCAGCGTGAAGGGAATTTGTGCCCCTTGAAGCATGTGTGCCTCTTTCGCCTGCCAACTAGTGCCTCCTATTGTGGAATACTTGTTGCCGGCAATGCTGGCTTTCATAACGGCTTGCTCTCTCCTTCTGCAGGCCACTGCGGGAGCAGCACCACCTCGTGGCCTTTGTAAAATGATGCACGGCATCATCTACGACCATGCTTTCGTCAAGTATGCTGAATGCCAGGCTGTTCACTACCTCAGTCCATGCTCCCTCCCTCCTTTTAAAGACCACCCCTTTAGACTAGGGATTGCCTGAGGGCAGAATCTGAGCAGTGGAGGTAAAACTGAAGTCCTGACTAATGCAGAGTTTTTCTTCAGTGTTGCTACATATTGTGTATTGTGGCAGTGCTGAGTGCACCCAGCAAAGGATCAGGACCTTGTTGAGCTACGTACTCCATACACCATGAATTGGAGTAGAGTTTTGGCTCCAGTGCCCAGGCTAAATTCCTGTCTTAGTGCACTGTTTCTGTGAGGTGTTCATAGCTGCTATGTACTACTCCAGAACAGGATGCATTTCAGCACAGGAAGAGGTGATTTGTATGTGTGTACTAGGACGTGATCTGAGATCACTGGGAAGAAAAGTGGCTTTTTATTAATTTATCAGTTATTATTGTTGCTTAAAAAAGCCGTTGTGACGTGAGTCCCACAGAAGAGTCTCCCTTGGGGCTACTGTGCTGAGGGGACAGAAACCTGCATGTGCCCCTACTTCTCTGGGGCGATTTCCCGCTCTACCATGTGCTCTTTACTACTGCCTGGGACCTCCCTTCCCCACACAAACCCTGCCTTCTCCCCCACTGCTGCCTCTTCCCCATGGTACAGACCCCACCCAGACACCTCTGCCCAGCCAGGCCCCTGCTCTTTGCCCAGAGACCCCCCTGCCAGGTAGGGATGTTAAATTTAGATTAATTAACTAACCAAATAGTCAATGGGATTTCCATTGACTATTCAATTAGTCGATAAGGGCGACCCGCCTTTGAACTGCACCAGGAGCCCTGCTGGACTCTTGCTACAGTTCAAAAGCGGAAGCCCCGCAGGGAGTATGGGGTCGGCGGGGGACTGGCCCCACACTCCCTGTGGTGCCTCAGCCTTTGAAACGTACAAGAGCCCCGGCCGGAGCACTGTGCATTTCAAAAGCAGAATCGCAGCAGAAGCGGCGCGAGTGGAGACGGCCTTAGTCCCCGCTCGCGCCGTTTGCCGATGTGCCTCTAACTCCCCTGCACCTTGCAGAGACGTGCTGGGGGGAACCAGCTTTTAAGCCAGCTCCCCCCAGCACCGGCTCTTGTCCCCTCCTTGCTTCCTCTCTCTGATAGAGGCACCAAGGGAAGGGGGGAAGCGACTAGTTGCATCATGAGTCAACTAGTCTCTTAGGCTGTGTCTAGACTACATGCCTCTGTCGGCAGAGGCATGTAGATTAGACAGATCAGCAAAGGCAAATGAAGCCGCGATTTAAATGATCGCGGCTTCATTTACATTTACATGGCTGCCGCGCTGAGCCGACAAACAGCTAATCAGCTGTTTGTCGGCTCGCGCGCTAGTCTGGACGTTCCCCCTGT